TCCTATGAAGATTCCTAAGACATTCCACAATCATGTAGCTCTGGTTGCTCGTGCTGTTCCTCCTGATCTTTGGCATCACCGTCTTGGACATCCGTGTCACTCAACTCTTTCATCTTTAGCTCGATCTTTGTCATTTAAATCTTCCAAAATAAATTCTTGTAATTTCTGTTTGCAATGCAAAAGTACTTGAATTCCTTTTACTCCATCTTCTCATGTTTCTAAAGTGCCGTTACATTTAATTCATTGTGATATTTGGGGGGTCCAAGTCCTTGTCTCTCTCTTTCAGGTTACTGGTACTTTATTATTTTTATTGATGACTTTAGTCGTTTTACATGGATTTATCCACTTACTAATAAATCTGATGCCTTTCATACTTTCCACAATTTTAAGTCATTTACTAAAAATTTATTTTCTACTAGTATCAAATATTTTCAATGTGATGGTGCTCCCGAACTTGTGAAAGGTATTTTTGCTAATTATCTTCGTAATCATGGTATTTCTTATCGCATCTCTTGTCCCCATACTCCTCAACAAGATGGAGTTTCTGAAAGAAAAATTCGTCATATCACTGAAACCGGGCTTACTCTTCTTCTTCATGCTTCTCTTCCCAAATCCTTTTGGGTTGAAGCTTTTTCCACTGCCACTTATTTAATCAATCTCCTTCCTACTCAAGTTCTCACTAATAAATTTCCTCATGAGGTTCTTTTTTCCAATCCTCCCTCCCTCTCTCACCTTCGAGTATTTGGATGCACTTGCTTCCCATTTCTTGGGTCTACTCGTGCTGACAAATTATCCCCAAAATCAATTCCTTGTGTCTTTTTAGGCTACTCTTCCCAACACAAGGGATACCGTTGCTTTGATCCCAAAAGTTCCAAACTTTACATCTCTCGACATGTAAAGTTTCTTGAAACTGATTTTCCTTATGCTATGTCTCAAACTTCTACGTCCTCTCCAACTCCATCATCACGGGTGTTGCTTCCTTTACCAATGTCTATTCCTCCTCCTTTTGTACCTTTTTCCAATCCTACGACACAAACTCTTTCTTCAACAAGGCTTTCTTCTCCACCACCATCTGATTCCCCACCTAGACCACCTCCACCACCATCTAGTTCCCCGCCTAGACCACCTCCACCACCAAGACATCACATGACCACTCGTACCACAACTCGTAAGCCTAACCGTTTAAATGATTATGTTACCTATACTTCCTCTCTTACTTGTCCTCCTGAACCTGACCCCACCTCTTTTACTCAGGCCAATAAATTTCCTCACTGGCGTCAAGCTATGCTTGAAGAGTTTAATGCTCTTCAACGTAATCAAACCTGGATTCTAGTTTCTCCTCCTCCTAATGCTAATATTGTGGGTTGTAAGTGGGTTTTTCGAACTAAAAGAAAATCCGATGGGACTCTTGAGCGCTATAAAGCTCGTTTAGTAGCTAAAGGCTACCATCAATCTCCTGGCATAGATTACACAGATACTTTCAGCCCGGTAATTAAAACCACTACCATTCGCATTGTCATCACCATTGCTCTTAATCGAAATTGGCCAATCCGTCAACTTGATGTGAACAATGCCTTTCTCCATGGTAATCTTCATGAGGATGTATATATGAGTCAACCCTCGGGCTTTGTTGATCCAAAATATCCATATCATGTTTGTCGTCTTCACAAAGCTTTATATGGTCTCAAACAAGCTCCTAGAGCCTGGTTTCACCGTCTTAGTCAGAAACTTCATACTCTTGGTTTTATTTCCTCTAAATCTGACACTTCTCTTTTTATCTTGTCTAAGTCCTCACACACTACTTTTGTCCTAGTTTATGTGGATGACATCTTGGTGACTGGTTCCTCTTCTTCCTTCATTCAATCTCTCATTGATGAGCTTCATTCTACCTTCACCATCAAAGATCTTGGTTCTCTTCATTATTTTCTGGGTATTAAAGCTTAATCTACATCCACCGGCCTTCTTCTTTCTCAATCTAAGTATATTCAAGATCTCCTCACTCGCACTCACTTCGACACATCCAAACCCGTCTCTACCCCCATAACCCCCAACTTACCTCTCTCTAAAAATCATGGTATACCTTTATCTGACCCTACAGAGTATCGGCGTACTGTTGGTGCTCTTCAATATATTTGTGTCACTCGTCCTGATATCCAATTTGCTGTTAATAAAGTGTCCCAATTCCTCCATTGTCCCACTGATATTCATTGGTCAGCTGTTAAGCGTATACTTCGTTACCTACGTCCTACCCCTACCCATGGCCTACATCTTACAAAGAGTTCCCCTCTTTCAATTACTACTTTTGCTGATACTGATTGGGCTGGTTGCCCTGATGACCGCCGCTCTCTTGGAGTGCTAAGAAACAACCGATTGTTGCTCGTTCAAGTACCGAAGCTGAGTATCGCAGTCTTGCTCTTGCTGCAGCTGAATTATGTTGGCTTTCTTCTCTCCTCCATGAGCTTGGTTTGTCTTCATCACCTCCTACTCTTTGGTGTGATAATTTAGGAGCTATTTACCTTGCTGCTGATCCAGTATCTCATGCACGCACCAAACATATTGAGATTGATAATCACTTTGTTCATGATTTGGTTCGTCAAAAAGCTCTTATTATTCAGCATGTTCCCTCCGCTGCTCAAATTGCTGATATTATGACCAAAGCTCTGCCTACGAAGACTTTTCTTCAACTTCGGGACAAGCTCATTGTTGTTCCGCCCATGAGCTTGCGGGGGGGCTGATAAGATTAGTCAAAGATCTCATTAGTTAGGATTATTTAGATTCTATTTGTTTAGATTATTTCAGATTTTATAATATCTAGATCTTAACTAATATTGATGTATGCCTATAAATAGAGGCAATGTAATGTACTGCTGCACACAATACAATTTATGATTTCATCTTCTTTCATGAATTTATTTCTCATCATTAACGAATACATACGAATAATAAATTATGGGATTTTAAGGTCGGAACCCCAATGGATGCATTTTTCCTGGCATCTTAGACTCAGACTTAGCTGAGACTCTGGCTCTTCGCAAAGCCCTTCTCCTCTGCAGGAAACTTGGTCTCCCTGATTTCAACATTCTAAACTCGCAGCTCATGGCAGCCACGGGGGATTGCGACGAACCTTCTGTCTGTCAGCCGATTCTGGAGGACATAAAATTCATATGTCATGATTTACCTGTTAAGCATTTGGCATGGATTGGTCGTCCTCATGCTTTCGCAAAATTCGCTAAACACTCTAATGTAATTGAAATTTTGTGGCATAGTCCACCAAGTTTTGCATCTCAATTGGTGCTGGATCATTTCCAGTGATATGAATGAAAGTTTGTTTCTTCAAAAAAAAAAAAGTAATGAAAGTAAATATCTTTCTCAGAGAAGATGTGCTACAAAGGCAAACCTTGATTCATTCACTGTTTTATTAGAATTCGTATATACAACTCAAAAACCGAATGATAACATGATAACTTAAAGAACTTGCATCTGATATTTGGTTAACTTTTCGACGCGGGGCAATAATACTTCTAAGTTCTAATATCTGTTTTGGACTTTTAACATGCAACAAAGCCGGTTACCTTGTGAGTTTATAGACGGAAGAAATTAAAACCAGTGATACATCATTTCATGTAAACAGTTCTAACTCTAATCATTATCTGAATGTGGAAAAATTACAAGGAAATTTTATAAGAATGACATGTTTACAATCCAGTGATACATGTAAACATCTTTTTCTTTTTCTACCAAGAAGTGACTTTTGTAATCTATAATCTATCATGCATGTTATATATGCTTTTAAAGGTTAGTGAATTAATTCAGATTATAGATCATCATTTCATTGATCTCTCAGTCAAGGAGATGTCTTGTAAATAGGCATTGCCTCCTTCATATTACTCCCTCTATCGTTATTAACTTTGAACTTTTATTTTTAGTCTAGTTCAAATTGAATAATCAAATTGGACTAAAAATAAAAATTCAAATTGAACGGTAGTTTTGGGGACGGATGGAATGTATATTAGAAAAAAAAAAAAAACAAATAATAATAATAGTCATTTGTCCAACACGCTTAAAATGAAAGTTTAGATTGAACAATTAATTATTTCCGAATAAAAGAAATATAGATTTTTTTTAAAAAAAGGTTGGTTGACTAAAAGAAGTCATTGGTCCACTATCCACACACTCGTATCCCCCTAATATTGATTTTGTATTAAAAATATTTAAATTGGATAATAATTTCACAGCAATAATAACAAAATGGATAAAATATTATTATTATTATTATTATTATTATTATTATTATTTATTATATTCTCTCTTTTCCTAATTGTGAAAATCCTAAATCTAAATTAATTGCAATGTTAATTTATGTCTTTACAGATAGGGAATTCTAGGGGTCCATTCGATGTCTTTGGACTGAACCATTTAAGTAAAATCTTCTAATAACTTGACACGTGATACTTCATCATAGACCGAGAAATACTGTAACAAATCCTTGTTCCTTCCTCACCTGCTAATTCAGGTAACAGAAACCAAATAAATGAACTTAAAAATATATGGAAAAAATCATCAACAAAGACCAATTATGCAGAGGGTCAGTAGTATCTTAGGAATACTAATGATTCGATTTTGAATTTGGTTTGTGGGTTTTGGGAACAATGGTTTGTGGGTTTTGGGAACAAATTAGCAATACTCATGAGATGCAGTCTGCGGGCTCATAGTTTTGTGGGATTCTTTTGTGGTTGTGGACTTCTGGAGGATGGAGAACTGCGTTTATGTGGTTGAGAAAGGAAAATACAACAAAATAAATTGGGCCTCGGAAACCGGTTGCCGTTTAACATCTAAATGATTCAGTGTGGTGCGGAGTAGTTTTGCTCTATGTTGCCTATTTTGATCCTACGGTGACAATCTTTCTTTTATCATCTACTAATAGATATGTTATTTGACTAAACATTCAGTTGATTAATCACTTCTAATAAAGATCATACGATTGAGTATTAAAGAAAAAAGTCACTAATAATAGAAGTCATTCGTCCACTATCCACATACATTGGCCCCGCTAAGTATCCCCGAGACAATTGGATCGAAGCATAATTCATGATTCTTTAACCAAATCGATCGGCTACTGTACAAATTCATGATCCCAACATCTGTACCCAGAATTTAAAGATCACCTTAAAACTGCTAGCTATATGGATATGTTACAGACTTTGTAGTACTAAATCCCGTCAATCCGAGATGCAACTCTAATCCAACTATATTGATCGCTCATCTATTGTAAGGTCTAATCATAACACGAATTGAAGGCGAATCCTTAAGGAAGAAGTGGATGATCATTCATCACTGATCCTTGGATTGAAACTGTTTTTCCATCTTTTTTGGCCCAAATTCAATATTTCAGTGCAAAACGAAATGATCAATTGGGGAGTTGGAAAAGACAATCATTCGTGAAACACTAGGTCCTTTTGCAAGAGTTATTGATTAGCTGCAACAAAACTCAAACCAGATCTTACCTTCTAAGATAGTATCCCAAAAACAAAAGCAAAAGGAACGAAATCAGAGCTATTCATGATTAAATCGTTCATCCAGAGATATTTTTAACAAACACAAGAAATTAGGATATCAAAGTCATTTTCTCATTCATTTATTTTGTATCAACATATGTACATTTACATCTCCAAAAATCTAAATTGGCTACATAGTACAGTTTTAGCCCGAGTGCTTAATTACCGGTTGACCCATCACCGGAGTCATTTTTCCCGATCTATGTCATCGCCGAGTCAACCGTCTCTCTTCTCTTCCTTCGAAACCCTAGCACAGTCCTCCGGCAGTATGCTCACCCGACAGTTGTTTCTCCCTTGCCGGAAAATTTTCGCCGCCGGCCCGGCATGACAAAACAACATGCCGGCCGTTTACAGGTACCCCATAAGACTTTCAAACACTTCGATGATCAACCTTCGCCGGAGGGATTCTTAGCTCGGGCCCCAGCAGCTCAGGTACATAACTTGCCGGAGAGACTCGTCGGTTCGTTTAATATTCCTCTGATCATCTCCACCTCTGCTAACGTAAGATCCACCTTCCACATCGGATCCCAGCACGCCGGCGAGTGGCCGGAAATCGGCACCCTCGCCGGAAGCGGCAAAGAACCGTTTTTTGCTGTTCTGGAGACCCCTTTGGGCGGATTTCAGTTTGTTCAACCCCTGATCGGAGTGGCTGTTTACAACAGCGACGCTGGCGGCCAACCAAGCTCTGCTAAAGTAGCTCATCTTGTTGATGAAATTCTTAGGAGAAGAAAGTGATTGTTCTTAAGAAAGCTTTGATGAGAACACAAAGAGATTGTTCTTCTTTTCTTTTTAGAGTAGATATATTAGCTCAGTGAGTTGAATGGGAGAATGGAGTGATCTTATTTATAGAGGAAATGGATATGGCGGTTCGTATTAAACCGGGTGGTTTTGCAAAGGAAAGGAGGATAGAACCGGGGTGGTTATAGGCCTTTTGGAAGTATCGATAGTATCTGAAACCAGATTTTCGTCGTGAGTTTTTGGTGAAGAGAATCGAGAAATTGCAATTCTCTGATCAAGCGATCTTAAGTTCTTAACTCGAGGGCGTTAGGCACTTTTTCTGTTTTTGCTTTTTACTTTTACCAAGTCCATCTTCTTGGTATATTGTAGATGTAGGAGGTTTAATTATGAACATTTGTCATTTCTATAAAGGCTAGAGCAAAATTATGCGGTTTTATTTTATGAATGAAATGCAAGTATGTTTAATTAGAAGTTTGAGTTATCTATGGGTTTTAGGGGGGGATTTGCATATTATTTATATTCTCTTATACACCATTCTCCTCCGAGAAAGTCTCTAATTCCTATCTTCCATAAACAGGGACGAGAAATCAAAAAATTTTCTTTTGTTTGGTTAGTCTCGTCGAGTTTTGACAGATTTGATGTTAATCTAGTTTTCTAGGCATTAAAAATTTGAGGACAGTTTCCTTAGTTAGATTTATAATCATTCATGAAATAAAGCTCTTGCTCTCTTCTGTCATGGTTAGATTTAACTGATCTTTATACAACTTTTGTGCAATTTATATATTTTCATATGCTTTTTAATAAAATATAATTATAGTTTGGAAAAAAAAAACACTTTTAAGTCTATAAAATTATCATAGAATTTTAGTATAATCCTTTTAATGGAATTTTTTGTAATTATTAGAGCTTAACGTCATTAATTAGTGTTATCATTCAGAAAATGTGTTCATCAAGAATTTGAGACATTATTTTATCTCTTCTTCTTCTTTTTTCATTCAAATTATTTTTTTTTTCCTCATCTGGGTGGTGATGCATCGTAAGACCAATGCAGTATGATGTTACGTGAAACATGTACGATTCTATTTTATCTAGGTATCTTGTCTTACTCACATATTTTGTATTTATTACCTATATAAATTTACTCAGCAATCTATTTGGAAATATGTACGGTTCGATTTTATCTACGTAAGTTGTTTTACCCACATATTTTATATTTATTACTTATATTAATTTACTCAGCAATCTATTTACACAGTCTTTTGGCCCCAAAAGAAAAAAGCAAGTGAATTTTGACGTTTATGGAAAGTTATCATCTTTTTCAAATGTTGTCAGCGGTCACATTTGTATCAGTGATACAATATGTATCTAACTACTTTTTGGAAAATCATAATCCAAAATAATACTTGTGAAATACACTTAGGACTGTCAAATCGGGCGGGTTCGGTCGGTTCGGGTGAATCCGGTTCGGGTGAATCGATTTTTTTCAATCTAATTAACTAACCGAAACCGAACCGCAGAAACACTAAATCCGAACCGACCGAATTAACAATCAGTTTTAGCGGTTCGGTTTCGGTTTAACCGAATCAGGATCTACAAACTCAAACTGAAATGCAAACTTAAACATGTAAAAATCATTCCAGTAAATTGCAAGCTGCAAACTGCAACATGATTCCAGCAAATGTTCACAACACAAATGGCAAATGGTCTCATTTCGGCATTCAACAAATGAACTAAACGAGTAACAGGCAACAACGCCAACATCCACAACCCACAGCAGGTGTAAATAACAGGCCAGTGGCCACAACATTATAAGTTTACAATAAATTTAAAAAGTTTACAGAATCCCAACAACTTAAAAATAGAAAATGAAGAACAAACAGAGTCACAGTTCACAGAATCAGTCTTGTCTTCACACTTTCACAGAATCACAGTTCACAGTTGAACTGAAACCTTCAATTCTTCGCCTTGACAATCTGAGAAATGCAAATTCAAAACACAGAATATAAGTGTTCAAATTCAAGCCACAAAGTCACAAAGACAAACTCATAATATCAGACTGCAAATTAAGAAATTCAGTTTGATAAGTACCTGTTTCAGTCTGCAAAAACTAAGAAATTCAGGCCACATCCTCAGTCCAGATTTGGTTCTCCTGTTTCAGCACCTGAAAAAAAATCCAGAAATGAAACCGGTTTGAGAATCAGAAATGCTGAAAATCAGAAATGCCATTTAGTAATGCAAATACCTTCTTCAATTTTTATGAGATCTTCCCACTTTTCTTCAACATCTTCTGCATCCACAGCCTCCCTAAGCCAATCTTGAGCGCATATTAAGCCTTGAACAGTCTTTGGAGTTAAAGAGCTTCTAAAAGCATCCAAAACCCTCCCACTCGTGCTAAAAATAGATTCGGACGTCACAGTAGAAATAGGAACTGCTAAAATATCACGAGCCATCAAAGAAAGGATCGGAAACCTTGGACTGTTAACCTTCCACCAGGTCAACAAATCAAATGTGGGACAATCAGATTCAGTTGTCTCCCTCAAATACTTCTCTAAATCTGAGTTTTCAATATTTCCACCGCTTTCCAAATTTTTCCTCTTCAACAGCTCTGCCCTAAATTGATCCCTAAGCATCTTTGAAGGTTCAACGTCTATCGGAGAAGATCTTTTCCCCAAAACAGCAGATTGAGAAGAACTACTGCCAACAGTGGGGGGAAGATGAACTAAATCTAGAATCAGAGGCATGAATTCTGACATATTCCGCATACAACTCCCTCAAAGAACTTTTAACAAAATCCAGTTTCATTCTCCCATCAACTTCTCCATACAATCTTTCTAGCACAATTTCCATGTACTCAAACTTATTTCTTGGATCTAAAACAGATGCTATGTAAAGAACAATATTCATCTTTTCATTCTTTTCAATGCTACCATAGTACTTATCAAATTTGGATTTCATCATTAAAGCCATAGCATGTTGTTCAGGATCTACAGTTTCATTAATGGTTTTCTTCAACAACACTTCAATGCAAGTAACATTATCAAAAAAAGAATCCGAAGAAATAGATTTGGTACGAGATACCTTCAACGTAATCTTGTAAAAATGTTGAAGAAGACCAGCCACTCTTCTAGCTTCTAACCAGTCCAATGCCGTAGGCAGCCCTGGCCCTGAATTTTTTGGATCCTCAAGAACATGTTTCAGAGTGTCTCTATAGTGTGGTTCACCTAATTCATACCTCTTAAGTGCTCTTTCATAAGCTTGGGTAGTTTCCAACATCAAATATGTGGAATTCCACCTTGTGCAAACATCTAGAATTAGATTCTTAGAGCTATTACACTTTTCTATTTCAGCACATTTTCTAAACTTTACAATTCTTTGAGGGGACTGTCTAATATATTTTATTGCAGCTCTAATCCTTTCAACAGATTTACCAACATGACTCAAACTATCCTTAACAATAAGATTCATTATATGAGCCATACAACGAATATGCAACCATTTTGCACCCAAAAGACATTTTTCACGATGACCAAATTGTTCTTTCAAATATTCCATAGCAGCATCATTAGCACTTGCATTATCAACAGAGACAGTAAAAACATTATCAATTTCCCAATCCAACAAACAATCCTCAATTGACGTCCCAATATCAACACCTCTATGACTCGAAATAGGGCAGAAGCTCGAGATTTTCTTTTTCAGATTCCAACTATTATCAATGTAATGAGCAGTAAGACACATATAGTTAATCTGTTGCAAAGAAGTCCAAGAATCGGTGGTCAAACAGATTCTACTAACATTCCCCTTGATTTCAAGTTTTAGTTTTTCCTTTTCAGCCAAATACAACTTATAACAATCAGCAGCTACAGTTTGTCTACACTTGGGAACAAACAAAGGTTGCAACTTTCGCAGAAAATACCTAAACCTTTTTTTCTGAACAAACATAAAAGGAAGCTCATCTATAATGATCATATAAATGAATGCCCTTGTGATTTCTTCTTCATTATACTTCCAGCTGATTATATTAGCATGTTTTCCTTCCTGACTTTCAACAATTAACTTACTTTGACTACGATCATGGCTCAAAGACAAATACTTCTTACAAACCAACAAATGACCACGAAGGTTACTTGTACCATGTTTTCTACTTTCAGACCTATACTTAGCACCACAGTAATTACATGCAGCCCATTCGTCACCTTTTGCATCATTAAAAGAAGAGAAATGGGGCCATACCATAGACCTCTTTCGATTTACCCTGCGTTTTCCTGGAGGCTTACAAAAAGCAGCAGCTTCAACTGGTCCCGTCGTTTCAACTTGAACATCGATCATGACAAATTCATCATCCTCAGGAATATCAGGCAGAGGCATATTCAGAAGGTTCTGAAACTCCTGATCCTCAATCTCCTCAATGTCATCAGTGTTATTAGGAACTTGAGACATCTAAAAAACAGAAAAAATAAAAAAAATTAGTTCACAGATCACAGTTGACAGTCACAGTCTACAAATAAAATTACAGAGTACACATCACACAACCCCAGTGAGCAGTAGCCAGTTCAACCTCTAATGAAACTCTAATGAAAAAAAAAAGCTAAAACAGTAAAGGAAACTGATCAAAAACCTTAAAACCAGACCCAGTGATGACAAAACCCAGAGAACCCCGACCAAAAAAAGACCCAGTGATTACAAAAACCAAGCAACATACAATACACGCAACAAAAAAAGAGTACTCAGTGGACAGTGATACAGTCTGTCACAGCCAGCCACCAACAACAACAAGTTTCAAGCACTCAGTCAAGCTCAAGCACATGGATCAGCTGGAAATAAATGAAAAAAAAAGGGAACTGAAAAGCAAATCCATTTGACCATTTCAGTTTCATCATTCATCAGATTATCAAAAGGGAAGAAACATGAGAAAGAAAATCCAAAAAACTCCAACGATTGAAGAAGACTGAAGACCAAACAAAGAAGTCAGAGAACAGAACAAATATTTTGACTTGGAGCATGCAAAACAGAACAAGAAAAAAAGAGGAACAGAAAGATCGAAAATGTTTTTCCTTACCGTTTAAGTGGTGTCGTCAGTCGCCGTGACCTTTAGACCGGAGGACTCTGCTGGCTTTCAAGAGGACTAGAAGATCAAGGGGCAAATGTTTCTTGTTCTTGTAAGCTTCCCTCAGACTCAGAGCAACCTTCTGCTTTTGACCTGGGCGATGGACAACCTCACTGTCCTCGGTACCTTGCTAAATCCAAAAAATAAAAAAGACAGGCAATCAGATTATCAGAATAGTCCAATCACAAAAAAGAAAAGGAAAAGATCCACAGCAGTATTCAAACCATCATGCTAACACTTCACAGCTACCATCACAACCACCATGAGGC